ATACACGTCTGCTTAGTTCACCAACTTAACCGGACGTTTGTCAGAGATTTCACGATCCCATTTAACGACACACATGCGGTAACGCGGGCCATCCAAATAATTCTCTCCATTCTCTTCCATTTCTCTCTTATTTATGCACTTATGTCACAAAAGTCTTACACTTTTGGTGATACCCAGTAAAAGCAGTTCCAGCTCTGCCATACGAAGTCGCGAGAGCTCTGTCCTTTTCTACTGAATGGGAATCGGTCTCAGTGTCACAGTAACAGCAGCTGGTTGCTATGCGACAAGCATCAACCTTCGTCATGTGGTGAGTTGTGATGCCAGTGTTCGCCAGGTCATGACATTGTTGTCTCGAGATCTGGCGAAGCACGATTGCATTTCGTATTTGCTACATTTTTGGCCCACCTCACGTGGTGAAACTGTCGCCCTGTAAGCTCGTGCCTCCCTAATCTCTGAAGGATCTTTACGGCCACGGGCATGCGCATTACACGGGCCTCTTCTCGCTGAACGTCTGCTCAGCAGACGACTTCGTCTGGCCGAAAGTGCGTCGATGACTTTCGCTGGCTGGTGCACCTTTTTTTCCGCCGAGTAGCATACATTCACCGGATGAGATCTGCTACTCTCACTACCTGCATCATTTTGCCTAATGAGACTACTCATATTTATTAAGTAAAACCTATTTAGATGGTATAAGCTTTCGTTTGTTTGGCGCGACAGAGGGATCCTATGGAACATACCTAGTCCTGCATCCTCTGCCATAATGTTCATAGCTTCCGGTATCGGATGACTGGCTTAGTGCACTTCCAGACGTTCGCCGGCATCGTCAATGAGAGGCAGTACTGTTAGCACAGTTAAGCTCGTCAAAATGACAATTGAAGGCGTCATTCTCTTATTTTCAATATTTCTGGTGCTGCATCTCTCGACCCCACTTCATATTGACCCATTCACACCATTGTTTGTCCAAATGTCGCTTAAGCGTGTGTCGCTTCAAGTGGATTCAGTAAAGCGTGGTCGCCTTGACCACCGATTTCAGATGTCTTCTCCAGGGTTTGTCATATCTTCTTTCATTTGGCCCCTCTCCAACCGTGATCCGCATGAAAATCACTGACTGAAATCGAGTTGCCTATAAGCCTTCTCTTCCGCTCCTTGCTTATGTCATAATTAAGGATTTAAAACTGGTGATTTTCATTCATATGCCTCACTCAGCCATTTATCTACTTTCTCATCATTCTCTCAATCTTTGGGGCTTGATTCGGAACCGCTGGTGTGAAAAGTTCTACATGTGCACGTTATTTGGTACATGTCACACATGCCAGATTTCAACACAAGCACACAAGAAATGCAAAAGTACACACTTGATACCGATTTAGGTTGTGTTCCTCAGCTCGATTAACATATTCAGGTAAATTTTAAACGGACTTAGATCTTTCGCTTAGCACCTCTAGTGATCTCGCCTTTCATTTCCTCCTAGAGGTAGACCCAAACCCGTAATTTTTCGCGCTGATTCCAGCTGACACTCATATCATTAAAATTGCTTTCTGAATTTCCTATACCCCTCATAATGCTCTCCCACTATGTAGAAAAACGAAGTTTAGAATAATCCCTTAATATATCGATATTGTAGTACCTTTCATTTGAAGAGGCGAATGTAAGGGATTCGCAAGTTGTTTCCACCGAAAGCTGTAGAAGGGTTGTCTTGGAGCTGTGGTTGTAGATTTGTGCGAATAGGTCCTCGGCGCACCGCCCTGCGACCCCTTTTCTGACCTTAAGTCCGTCATATTACTGATATCGTCAGAGCTGGACATGGCGCTTAACGATAATTCACCGAAAACACCGAGGCAAAAAAGGTGGCTGGCTTCAAACCTACTTCCTTATATTCCAGTATAAGTATATAAGAAAAAAGTAGGTAGGTGTGAAGCCGGCATCTTTCTTGCCTTCGTGTTTTGGGTGAATAATCGTCAAGCGTGGTGTCCTGCTCTGACGATGTCCGTCACATGACCGACTTAAGGTCATCAAGAATTGATCGGCGTCGCAGGGCGGTGCGCCGAGGACATATTCGCACAAATCTACAACCACAACTCCAAGGTAATCCCCCACAGCCTCCGGCGGATCCAACTTATGAATCCCTTCCACTCGCGTCTTTGAAAGAAATGAAAGGTATTCCAACATGAATTGTCTCCACTGTCGTTGCATAGATCCAATTGGTCAAGGGTAACTTTTATATGCTGTAACTGTGCTAAGGATGTTTGTCAATGGTCCGATGCTGCAAATCATTGCACAAATTTGACGAGGGACTCAGGATAAGTAAGTTTCACTAGGTCTCTTCTGCTCAGACCAAGTTGTGTATAGGAGGCTAAACCCAGAACATATTTTCTCTTAATTTGATAGTGACTGAAAGTTTTCACAATTATATGAATTGTCCCTCGGTGCCATAACGGGCTGCGACTGCGGCCTCTGGTCTCATCAGCTTGCTCAACGGACATTTCACAAACCACATTTACAGTGGTATTGTCGAATAAGCAAACTTGTACTTGCCATTACAATCAATGGCGTTAGTTATTGTCGCCCAGACTGGTTCTTCTTCATCTATTTTACCTCTCGTTAAGCTACCTGGACTGGCCAAGTTAGTATTGTGGTTAAATCTAGCATATTCTAAATTTGATCACTTTCGATTTCGAATTTATCTAGAACTGATCTGTGGTTTGGCTTCAGTAACTTGAGGTAGGATTGCTTTGGAGTATAGATTGTTGAATTATGTGAAGAAGCCTAGGATTCATTATCGTATGGCCCTGATTCATCCATGCTGATTTTCTGTCTCTTCTTGACGGCCATCAAAACATGGAACTTTTATCTTATAAAGCCTTATCATATGCTAATCTATAGACGGTTGTCTGCATAGTCATTAACTCGTATGCTTCTTCCATTTACAAGAATATTCCATGATTTGATTGGTTCATACCTTTTCTGGATTTTCTGCTCGTAAAAAGGAAAGTATGCCATAATCCTGCCTAATGAAATTTACTCAAGATTTCAAGAGGTATTATTACAAATGGACAACTCTATTGCCTTTGGTGCAGTTTGAGAAGTTTGATGACGTAAGACGGAGAGGTCATCACGTATTGATCAGGGTGACGGGATAGTCTCAAAGTTCTATCTTGTTTTCCGATGTGACCAGTTCATTCTAAATTATAAATCGAAGCACTAGATCATATTGGGTCCTTTTAGACCCAGCTTTTCTTACATACAAGATGTTTCTTTAGTTTCTTCCACTTTTACTTCATTAGCACGGGAGGCTTGTCGAAAAGGACTACACAGCATATCGCTACTGAGCCTAGCAGATCGTCTCCCAACCCCGGTGTCGTCGGTCCTCTAACCGATTAACAGTCTCAGAATAGGAGAAACACTAATATTCCGAGTACAATGGTTCCCTCAGAACCCAGTCCCTTCTGCGATAAATAGGTGTCGCCTCATCAAAATGTTGGATTATTGTGAAAAATATTCTTTTATTTAGACAACTCAAGAAGTGTTCATTTCCCTGAACCGATCTTTCTAACATCTTTGCCTTTACAATCATCTGGATCTTTGCACCACACTACTGTTAATGTGGGTACACATTCAAACCAGGATTTGGCAACCTCTATTCGAAAGGTTACGAAGGTTTGACGAGGCTCTACAGACAATCTGTTTTTCCCGTGGTTCAGGCTTATGCCAGTTGCTGTTTCCTACGCTGGTATCTGACCTGACCACGATAGAGGCCAAGATTTGCTTGCGCTGTGTATCCAAAAGGAGAAATTACCCGGCCTGGATTCCGGTTTTGATCTCGGAACTGTTTATTTGTTTGTCTAATTTCATCTGGACTAATTTCCACAATATATATCGTCTTGTGTAATTGTTAGGTCAGGATACGAATGCTGTACCAGCTCAGATATTGTCTCTTTTTCTTGTGATTAACTGACACTTGTCTATCCTAAAGTTGATTTGCCGATTAACCATTGTGACTCTTGGTTTTGATGTATTCCTACTACGGATGCGTCAGGATCGGCTATTGTTGAGCTTACTTTCATTTCGAGTGAAAGTGTTTGGTGAAGAGATTCGAAGGTTGATTCCACCAGAAGACGACGGAGGATTCCTCTTGACAAGCTTTAGATTGGCTTTACTGGAACATTCATGGTAACACTGTTTCCGAGGTAATCTCCTTCGATTCCCATGAAAGGGTGATAATTTTTTGTCCGCCACATAACGAACACAATCACAGCAAGGTATCATCGTCACAACTAAATTCAAGCTAACGAGTCAAGAAAACATTCACTCGTAAAGGAAGTAAGCTCAACAATTATGAAACAAGACACTCCTCGAAACCCAACTTTTCTTCGGATATACTCTCCAGCTATACCTGCGGCTAGCTTTTCGTTACCCAACTGGCTCTGCATTAAGCACTATATTCAACCTTTCATTCAAGAATAAACTAAATCCAACCACAGACGGGTTGCAAGCCGTGGATTAGGGTTTTGATTATGTCTGGTTTCAATTCGTTAGAAGTAAAATGAAGCCATTCATATTTGTTACAGTTCCATTACCTTTTGGAAACCTCTTTGCGTAGGATACAACTGCATACGGAGGAGCAGAATAGTTTTACCTGTTCGTTTCAATTAATCAATTTCTTATCCCGCCCCATCAAACCAGGAGACTCCATTACGTATCTCGGTTGTTCGTATATCTGCTGCGTGTTAAAGAGAACGTTTACTTGCACATTAGAGGATTGTTGCTTTCATCCTAAACCTACATTTTAAAGATCTTTCTACCGAACTTCGTCTTGTGATTGGCTGTCAGACTGTGCCGATCAACCTCTGAGGACATGTGCTTTATATTCTCAACTTGTGTCTGGCTAAGTATATTCATTTTGTTTGATAATTATAGCCATGCTTGTCGGCACTAAGGATATGAAAGAGATGGATCGAGAAACCCTTATAAGGCGCGAGTCAGGTTGGAGCTCTACAACGCGAATACAAAAATAATATTTAAAGGCGCACAAGCATTCATTGTTTAGTCAATCATGTGGCGAGTCACACTTGTACTAATATCAGGTTCGCACGATTTTTCGGCTTCAGCTCACATGAACAAAGCGTGCAGAGCGCTTCATTCAGCTTACAGCCACATCTTTTCAAGAGACCATCTCCAACTTGGCTGGTGCTAATAAATAGCTCTTCTGTTTTTTGTCCTGGTTCTCCTCTTCGAGACTCGACTGCTCCAGCAAGATTCATTTTCAGAGGCCTTGTTGTTTCTCGACTTTATCGTGCATGCTTTTCGACCGGTGATTCAAGTGATCGAATAGAAATCCTCTACCCGAAGCCCGCCTAAGAGCCGGACTGTTCCTCTTCATACGCTTTTTTAGTTTCGCTAACGGCAATCAAATCACAGTCGTTTTGTGTCCCTTGTCTTAAGAGATGAGTGATGAGAAGTGCT